AAATTAACAAAGAAAAAAGCAACCAAAACCTGCCCTCCAATCTGGTTTTCCTGTTCTAGTTAACCAACTCCTTACCTGTATAATGGTGGATGAGGATTTTTAGAAGTTATTTAACCTTATGCCTGCCTTTGTTGGAGAGATGTAACTTGGCCGAGGTAAATACAATTACAGAAGGAGAGCATCTATGCCTCTGATTTCTGGTTCACATAGCCACATTATGGCTCGCTAAGGAGGATAATTACGCAGAGTAATTAAGAATATAAGTTTCACAACTGAAAGAGCATCACAAAACTCAGTAGTATGATAACCAATCAGCAGAAAGAGTGAGGATGGGATTTTCTGGGATACTGGTAACTTCCTGTTTTGAACCTGGGAATGTTCACGTTATAATTATAAATTAAACTGCACACATGTTGTATAGATTTGCTTTCAGTATTTTATGCTGTATTTCACAATTTTAAGAAGCTTGACATAAAAGTATAAGTCCCATAGTCCTGAATTCAACTCTAGACTTGATCATTTACATGGTGGGTGAATTTAGGTAAACTATTAACTTATTTAAGCTTCAGTTTCCTCTTCTGCAAACTAAGAATAATGATAATGACAATGACAGTACATACTGCATAGCAATGCTGTGAGTATCAAGGAAAAAAATGCAGTTAGTGGGCTCTTTTGGGGCTGTGCTATTCCTAGAAAGGCTCAGAAACTGCCTCCTGCATCATTTACAGGCTGACACACATCAACATATCACCAGCATGTAGTTACACTTGACTTTTCACCTCTTAGCTGACAGTGTACAGCTGTTTCAACTGCCTTGAGGTAGCAGTTAGCTGAATGTAAATGTGGTCCTTTTTCCCTGGCTATGAGCTCCAGGGATCAAGAGGTATCCTCACATGGGGATGGGCAGGCTTGGTCCATAATGAAAGGCAGCAAAAGGATACTTGACCATAATTTGGGATTGAAGGCCACTGGTCCAATCCCAAAAAGAAATCAATAAGGAAAGCTGCAACTGGAAGCCTTTATGGCAAGCAGAAAGATACTTAGGGAGGCATATGGCATAGGAGCAATCTAGTAGACTTTAGAGTCTGACAGAGGGAGGGTTCACACTCTAGCTTTGCCACTCACCAGCAGCGCAGCTGTAGTAGACACTGTAACTCCCATATCTTTTCTAAATCATTCAGCAGTCCCAGCCAATGATGGGAACCCCAGCTCTCTAACAAGGACTGGTTCATCAATGAACATATGACCTAATCCTCCCCAGAGACAAGAGATGGGAGGTTATGGGAAGAACTTCCTTCCCTTAAAAGAATAACGAAAAGAGATCAACTCTATTCTTCCTCTGCATGTTGTCTCTCTCCCAGAAATGCTAAAGTCACCTTGCTTCCAAAGTAAAGGCAAAACCGTTGCCAAAACCTTCAGCCAGAGAAATGCAAAGATCGTGGAATCTCAATAATATACATGAGCCACTGAATCATCCAACCTAGGGCACAACCTACTATGGAGTCCCTGATATTTGGGATAATGAATCCTTTATTACTTAGGCCAGTTTGAGTCAGAGTTTTTTTATCGGTAGCCAAAAGCATTCTAACTGAAAATGATTCCATCAAGTTCTATGAACTTCAGTTTCTTAATCTAGAAATTGGGTTATTAATGCTGCTTTTGCCCAGTTGTGGAAGGTTTAAGTTTAAGAAAAAAGTTATCTAAAGCAATTAGGGCAATGCATGGTAACTATGAAGCAACCAATAAATGATCCCTATTTTTTTCAAAACACAATCTCAAAATGCTTTCTCATGAAAGGGTATTAAAATAGTTCTCCTTTACTCAACTATTCATAAAACAGACTCAAGAGTGGTTTTTCCACCTATGCAAGGGGTAAAATGGACCCTACCAATCACAAGATCAGTGGTTCTCAAAACAACATGGAAGATGTTTGGCAGAATGCAGATTCCTGGGTTTTAACCATAGGTTATATCCAAGGGGACTGAAGAATCTACATTTTTAACAAGTATCCCAGGAAATCCTGATACAGCTGGTCTAAGAATCACACTTGCACATTTCCACTTGACTCTCCAAACAGCCTAACGCTGCACTTAATACCTCTACTTCTGTAGCTACAGTCTACTCTCCATTCAATAGTCAGAGCGGTTCTTTGAAATCTAATCACATTGCTTCTTTGCACCAAACCATTCATCTGCGAAACTCAATTAAAATGCTTACCTGAGCCACATGACATGAAATGACCTTCAATCCCCCTCCCCAATCCCAATTATTTATAACACAGTAGGACACTAAGATATATCCATCATGTTACAGGAAGTCAACTTAATGAGGAGTTTCATTTAATAGGTTCAACTTATACGGCATTTGTTTACACTTATCAGGATCATTTCTGATATCTTATGCCTTGTGAGCAGCTGAAAGCTGGGAAACAAGAAACATCATGCAAGCAGCCTTATATTTGTATAACTCATGTAAGTGTGCTCATGGTTTGCTAGTCCATAATACTTTCTAATTATCTCATTTATCACTTGCATTGTTTTCATTGATTTTTTTTTCTGTACACTTTATGGTTTTCTTGAATGGGGCTTGCAATAAAATTTCAATTACACAAACAATGAGTATCAATGAATACTTTTAGAATATTAAGTGCACTATATGTAAAGCTTTTTAAAAAAGCCAAAAGAACACAGGGTACAGATGCGTTATATAGTGTAAATAATGAAAGAAACCATCTTGTTATGCCAAGTTATGATGACTTGATGACTAACTTTAATTCCTGAAAAAATTGTGTCCATTTTAACAAGGTTTAGTGTTGTTTAGCATAAACTGGTATTAATTTTGGAGCTCAGATGTGCATTCCAAAATTTCCTATTGAAATAAGGGGTATTTTTTTTGACTCACGATAATTTAAAATTTGTCTTAGGAGATTTTCATGAGCAAATTCTTTCCTAAGACAGGAATATAATAATGTTTGCTTTTTGGCAGATTAAAAAAAAAAAGTACAATCTTTGTAGTAGCAGAGCAATGCAATCTGAAACAATAAGAAGTTGTTTACCATCTAATAAATGGAAACTTTTAAATTATTTTTGATGCTGGTCAGGGTACAAAGAAAACACACATTCTCACATACAGCATGTTGATTTCCGTATCTCTGAAAGGAAGCTAGAAGTTTTTGAGGAATAAATAAGCTAATCCATACAAAGTGCTTAGAATAGGATGTGGCACATAACATATAGCAAACTGCCAATAAATAGGAACCATTATTATTGTTGTTATTATTAATCACCATGGGCAGGAGTGTAAATTTGCGCAGCCTTTCTTAAGGGCAATCTGACAAAACATCTTAAAAATTTTTTTGATTAGTAAACAGAAATTTATGTTCAAGAATATTCATCACATTAAAACAGTAGAAATCAGGAATATGTTCTTGTTATTGCACAAATGCCCACTAATAAGTAAATAACAAAACAAATGAGGACATCTATGTGAGCACAGCCTCCTTTTCCTCCAAATCCTTTGTCATCAGAAATAATACTTGCAAAAAAATTTAATGCATTGGGTAGCACTCCTGATTTGATGTCAAGTGGGAGGGAAATAACAAAATTATCTAATTAGTATGATCTTAATTTTGTTTAAGATGCATGTGCATGTATGATGCACAAGTGTGCAAAATAATGAAAAGGCCCACACTATTATTCACGATGGCATTCTCTAGAGCACAGGTGATTGCAGAGGATCCTTATGACCTTTTAATATTCTTCTGTAGTTTCTAAGTTTTTTAACAATAACTGCAACTTAAATTTTTTTATCCAGAAATAAAAATATTAAAAACATATTATTACCTGTTTAGATCATTCAAAATATCTGGTATCTATAGGTTTTCTCCTAGACTATGCTTTATATCAATCATTTTATGTTGGCAACCTGATACCTTCAAAATATTACTTAATTGTCAAAAAAAACTTCTTTAATTCTTCTTAAATTCCTAGCAGAACTGAAGTCTTGGTATAAAGCCAATTGCTACCTGTCATGCTAGAAGACAGGTATTTTGAGATAGTTAATAAAAACTTAAAACAGACAAGTCATAGAAAAAAACACAACTGGTGGGCAAAGAGGCACAAAATATCCAAATAATGACAAAATAATATATTTTTTTAAATCAAAAGGATCCCCTGGAACATTTTTCACAGCCAAACAAATGAAATACTTAAGAAAAAATTAGATTTTGGCTCTGCTATCCTCAAATAGTTCTAATCTTAATGTCATTCATTCCCTCATTTAATATCACAAAATAAATGAAAATATGAGTAACAAATAGGTAAACTCTGGAAACTAAATACAAAGCCAGATTAGAACAACCACCAAAAAAAGGGTTCAAATATTCTATCCTCTATAAAACTCACCTCACATTAGAACCAAAAGCTTTTCCAACTATGCCCATGTTTATCTGCAATGTTGCCATTTAGTACAATAAATTCTAATTCACTGAAAAGCAGGCTGATAACTATAAATAATAAAAAAGAACCAACTACAGGCATAGCACAAAGCTCCCCAGCCCTGAAAAGTAAGAACACATATTAAACTATCAACTGTTAACTTCTCCTTTACAATCTATTTCAAATCACACTGATTAAAGAGTTCCTCAAGTAAAAGAGTGAAGTAATTGGTTTTTCACATGGAGAAGGGGGCAGGGGAGATTGCCTGGAAGCAATTTCTGATTATTCCCTCAATTAAATTTTTATCAGTTATTCATGGGCACTTTTTTATTAAATAAGAAACAGAATAATTCCCCCAACTTTTCAAGTTGTGATGATGCTATCCAGACACCCCCAACTTTCTCTTGGATAATTTAAAGTTACTATTTAAAGTTACTAATTATTCATCAGAAGCAGAAAATTCCTTGCCTGCAATTAAGTGTAAGCCTCTGTTAATCAGCAATTGGACATATTTATTCTATAGAACCTAGGTGTACTACATGCTAGAGATGCAAAGATGAAAAAGACCTGGCCGCTGGAGGTGGAGGAGAAACATAAGTGAGAAACACAGAAAACATTACAAGAAGTACCATTTGGGCTAAATCCTGAAGACAACAGAGGTGTTAGAATAAGGAATTCCACCAGAGGAAGCACAACATACAAAACCACGAGGAAGTCCAAGTCCAATGTTTGAAGGGACCTCACTGTTCAGTGTGATTATGAACATGAGTGTGCTTGCATGTGAGTCCACATGCAGGAGAAGAAAAGGAAAGGGGGCTCATAGTGGGTTGGAAGAGGAAATATGATGGCTGTCCATACACAGCATGAGACCAAGATTACTCTCTAAGACAGGCTTCTGATGATACAGAGAGAATATTATTAGAATGGATTCTTAACTTTCCAAACTGGTCAGTTACATGGTATTTATAAGTTACCTAGCTTGCTATTTTAAGATAGCATACTATATAATCCAATCTTACATCATGCCCATACATAAAGTGGTATATTAAGAAAATGTTCAACTTATTCAACTTTAAAAGACAAAATACATGATTTTTATCATTCCTTACAAAACAACTAGTACTACTAATACCATCACCACCACTGCCATTTATTGAGAGCTTACTATGTACCATGCACAGTCTTTACCTTTGAAAGTCTTCACAATTCCCTCGTTGTTTCCTCAATGGACACATGAGGAAAACAAAGTTTTACCTCACAGCTAGTTAGGCCAGGGCCAGGATTAGAATCCAGGAGGCCAGCTTCAGAGCCTTTGTTTTTGTTTCTGTTTTGTTTTCTTTGCCCTTCTACAGCTTAAATTTTTCCCCCAGCTTTACTGAGGTCTAACTGACAAAACTGGAAGACATTTAAATTATATAATATGATGATATGATATTTGTACACACTGTGAAAGGATTACCATCAAGTTAATTACCACATCCATTTCCATCTCCTCATACACTTCTTAAACTTTCCTTACTTCCTATCCTTCATCTTTCCTTTTTCTGAGAACATTTAAGTTCCACTCACTTAGCAAATTTTAAATATACAATACAGCGTTATCAACTACTGTCAACATGTTATAATTAAATCCTCAGCCCTTATTCAACTTAAAATCAGAAGTTTGTACCCTTTTACCAACCTCTCCCTATATCCCCCACTCCTCATTCCCAGCCTGTGTTTTTAACCCACCAAACTACGAATACTGCTTTAGAGTCTAAGTTAACAGTATTTGCTACTAAAGCTGAATAAAAACAAAGGCTTTAAAATACCAATTTGATTCCATATAACAGCCATATTCTAGTGTAAAAGAAAAAAGAATCTCACAGATTTGTGTTCCCAGTGACTATAAACAAGTTTTTGTTTCCCATATAAAATGGCCCCAGCTTCCATGTTAGGGCTGAATCATTTCAAAAGTTCCTTACAGTCCTCAGATTCTATAAACCACCAATGAAGTAGAATTACAATCTACGTACGGGATTCTTTATAAAGAGTCAAGGAAAACTCAAGCTTCTAGCAATTTTTTTCCTTAGAGAACTGCAGAAAGGCAGCTGAGAGAAACAAATCTGTTGTCATCCCACTACCTGAACCCATTTCAACCATTTTTATTTGATCAATATGCTATAAACGGTACAGAATCTATCACTGATGGGTACATTTTCCAGGTTCCTGTGGTCCATTATACTTCAAAACTGTAGGAAGAAAGCTTCTGAGAAGAAAATACATAAACTGATTTCACCAAAATACTAAGTTTTGAGAATAATATCTTTTTAATGCAGATGGATACAAGAGCTGACAGTTTATTAGCCCAGGGCCCATGGGAACATTAAAGACAAGTGTTCAATATTTCTTTCCAGAATCTCAAATGGCCCTTAATTCAGGAAAGCTTAAAAAGTAAATGATGTCATGTAAAGACACAAACTAAAGATACAAATAACTGAGTTTGCATCAAAAACAAAATATACCCAAACACCCATATACATTTACTTCACTGGAGTTAGAAGCTGTAAGGGTCCGGAAATGAGAGTCAGAAGACAAAGGTTCAAGTTTCTACTTTGACCAAGGCACTGTGACTGGTTTTCCATATTAAACTTCTCTATAATTTACTTGCTCTATCATGTAAGAGATGATGTCAAAGATGCCTAGCAGTTCTAAAATCCCAGAATTTCATCAGAAGAATCAAGTTTTCTAAGCAAAATCAACTCAATGGAGGAAGAATAGCCTTTCCAATAAACAGTGCTGGAGGAAGTGAATATCCACTGGCCAAAAATGAACCACAATCTAATCATCACACCTTATATAAAAATTAACTCAAAATGGATCATAGATTTAAATGTTAAACTATAATAACTTTTAGAAGATAACACAGGAGAAAACCTAAAGCTTGGTGAAGGCTTCTCAGACATGACACCCAAAGCACAGTCCATCAGAGGGAAAAAAAATGGATAAACTGACTTCATCAAAATTTAAAACTTTTACTCTCTGAAAGATTCTATTACAAGGATAAAAGAAAAGCCATACACTGGGAGAAAATATCTGCCAATCATACATCTGACAAAGGACTAGTATCTAGAATATATAAAGAACTTCCAAAAACAACATTAAAAACAAAACAATTCATTTAGAAAATGGGCAAAAGAGCAGAAGAGACATTCCAATAAAGAGGATATACAGATGGCAAATATGCACATAAAAAGATGTTCAGCATTACTAGCCATTAGGGAAATGCAAATTAAGACCACAGTTAGATATTTTTATACACCAGTTAGACAGCTGAAATTTTAAAATAGTGAGAGTATCAAATGATAGTACACAAGCAGAAAAATTAGATCTCACATACATTGCTGGTAGGAATGAAAACAGAATAGCCAATATGAAAAACAGTTTGGCAGTTTCTTAAAAAGCAAGCATACATTCAAAATACGACCTAGCAAATGCACTCCTAGGCATTTACCTAGAGAAATGAAAATTTATGTACATGAATGTTCACTGTAATTTTAATTTTGAAAGCCCAAAACTTAACAATCAAAATGCCCCTCAATAGATGAATAAACTATAGTCCATTAATACTATGGAATACTCTGTAATAAAGAGGAACAAATACACGCAATCAGATGGATTTCAAGGGATTTACACTCAGTGAAAAAAAGTTATCTCAAAAGGTCAGATAATGTGCAATTTCACTTAGAGAACATATGACAAAATTATAGAGATGGTAAACAGATGAAATAGATTACTGGACACTAGGGATTACTGGAACAGCAGGGTGAGGGAGTGATGATAACTATAAAGGGTTAGGATGAGGGACATCTTTGTAGTGATGAAACAGTTCTGTGTCTTGACTGGAGTGACAGTTACAAAAATCTACACCTGTGATTAACTGCCATACAACCATACACACACAGTGTATCAGTACTGAATTCCTAGTTTTGGTGGAAAATTTTTAATTATATAAAATGTAGCTACTAGGGGACCTCTCTGTACTGTCTGCAACTTTCTGTGAATCCATACTTTAAAAGCAGCTTTCTAAGAACCCTTTCACTGCTGAGTAAAATTGATAAGTAAACTCCATCTTGCTAATTACTTAGGATTGAGTCATCCTTCAGTCTTCTCTCTCCCCTCCTCACTCCTGATATTCAATCCATCAAAAAGTCCTGAGTCTCCCTTCAAAATGATTCCAGAATCCTATCACTTCTTATCACCTATACCCAACACTCTGGTCCAAGCCATTTTCATTTTTCTGGGCTATTGTCTGGTCTCCCTGCTCACATACACAGTGTATTCTATTCAGGAAAGGAACTTCTTTAGGTCTCTTTAAAAGTTAGGTCTCATCTTTCAAATACTTCACTTATCAGAGTAAAACTTAAAGTCCTTAAAACTCCCTACAGGTCCTTCAAGACGTGTAATACCCTTGATTTTGCCTGTAACGGGTTGAATGGCAGTCCCATTTGCAAGATTCACATCAAAGAACCTCTGAATATGAACTTATTTGGAAAAAGGATCTTTGCAAGTGTAACTATAGTCAGGATCTGCAGAGGAGATTATCTTGGATTATCCAGGTGGGCCCTAATTTCAATGACAGGTGTTTTTATAAGGGAAAAAAAGTATGATGGTACCCAGGAGAGAGGAAAAGCCATATGAAGATGGAGGTAGAGACTGGAACTATGCAAGCACAAGCCAAGGAAATGCCTGGAGTCACCAGCAGCTGTAAAAGGCAAGGAAGGATTCTCCTCTAGAGCCTTCAGAGGGCACAAGTTCTACCAACACCATGATTTAGGACTACTGACCTTCAGAACTCTTAAGAAAAGAAATTTCTGCTGTCATAAGCCACCTAGTTGTTGGTAATTCATGGCAACTGTAGGAAAATAATGCACTGTCCATCTTGCCAAGCTCCTTTCTCTCCCCAGATATAATGGCTACTTGTTACTGAAACATGTCCAGGCATACACCCTCGTCTCAGGGCCTCTGCACTTGTCCCTTCGCCTTCCTGGAACACTCTCCTCTCAGATTTCTCCATGGCCCTCCCACCTTCAGATCTTTGATCAAATGCCAGCTTATCAGTCCTAATTAAAGGCACAAACCCATTACCCACACTCTTGTTCTCTCCTTCCTGCCTTATTTTTCTCAATAGCACATACTTCATCTGTCCTACCTAACATGTTGTTTACTGTCCCTCTTTCTTCACTGGAAAGGTAGCAGAGATTTTTTTGTCTGTTTTCTTATGTTATATCCCTAACTAAAAATATTCCTAAATGATAGTAGGTATTTGAGTATTATTTGCTGAATGAACAAATTAGATAGATGAACAACTAAAGACAGATGGGGCTCTGCCTATTATAGTACTTCCCAAGCCCAACTTCCTTAATTTTTTCTACAGCTCCTTACCAAAAGTACGAAGACTTACTTAAACTTAAGTCTACTATCTGTTTTACTTAAATACCTACTTTAGCCTCACTTTAAGCAATAATATGTATGAAATCACAGTTTTAGAATATGAGTTATATATTTTTTTCTAATATAAAATGCATAACTCTGAACATTT